CCACCTCTCTAGACAATAACTCCACAGGACGCAATGATAGAGTTCCAAATCCCACTCATGACATTTCAGTTTTAGAAAAATGAAACTAGGCTATCAATGTCACCTGAGTTTGAAAAGACTGTTCTCTGCCACAGTTCCTAAACTCAAAGGATTTCCTTTTGACATCAGGTGTGTGGAGATGTGAAAGGGAAATGAGAGTCCCTACTGGGATGGTGAACATCCTCACATTTGTGAGACCAACCGCCACACTCCCAGCTTTTCTTGTTCCCTGACAAGGCTTGTCCCAGCCCTCTCCTGGGATGCCTTTGACAGCAACTGCAAACAACAGAAGCCAGCAGGAATATGTAAGAACAGGTGCTGGGGCCTCCTGGGGACGCCTGTGCTCAGAGAAAGGGCCTCCACAGAGCTGTGCCGAGATATCCCACTTCCAAGTTGCCCTCCTGCCCTTAGCCCTTGCAGGATTTTTGCTCCTTTTCACGCAGTAGATGTTTGGAAAGATTTGCAACAAAGTATTATGGCTTGTAAGGTGCTTCTGGCAAATTTTCTTGGTCAGCTTTTAAGCGACCTTGGTTGGAATCTCTGATAATATAAAATAAGAATGGAAAAGGTCATTCTTGGGTTTGTGTTCAGATAAGGGAAATGATAATAAAAAGCCAGTGCTTTTCCATATTACTCAATTATTCCAGGTGGCTGCTTTCCACTTCCTCCCACATCTCAGGAAAAGAGACATTCCTAGGTTCAGAGGCTCTCCAGCAACAAAGAGGAAACAGATCACATAATACTTCCTTCACAAACAGGTCACAATATTCACATACTCCTGCATATTAGACACCACTTCAGGAGCATCTGGCCAACTACTATTAATTCCCATCCTTTATCCACTGATTAAAATTGCTCTGTGATTAAGGGTGCTCTATACCATGGGGACAGTCAACCGTGCAAATGAACGACCACTGATACTCAAGGTGGCTGCTTCTAAAAGCGGGTCCGTGAACCAGCAGCATCATCAGGATTACTTGGGACCTTTTTAAAAATGCAAAATCTCAGGCCCACCCCAAAACTACTGAAACAGAATTTAACGAGATCCAGAATGTAACAAGATCAAGTTTAAGAAGCGCTATACGACAGCCTCTTAGAGCAACTCAGTGCTCAGGATTCAGAGAGTGAGACACTGCCCTCCATTGCAGAGATTTACACTGCTTCAAGAGCACTCCAGTGCATTCTCTAAACTTCAGACGCTCCAGGAAATATGGGCAAGAATCAATGAATCTATGTTATAGTTCATTATTAGTGGTAATAGGACTCGAACTCAGAACTCCCAACTTCTAGACTTCTACACTTTATGCTACCTCAGCTAGTCCCTAAGGAATGGATGATTCCTCCACATCTTAATGTTGGGAAGTTTTTCCCGTTGGCGTTATTATTATGGGGTAGTAAAAAGAGGGCTTCAAGTATTGGTTCTGCCATTACTTACCCCTATCACTTTGAAAACAATCGCATCTTTAAAAAAACCAATTGGATGTCCAATAAAACAAAAGACATTAGGCCAGACACTGAAACTCACGCCTATAACCCCTACACTTTTGGAGGCTGAGGTGGGAGAATTGCCTGAGGCCAGAAGTTGGAGACCAGCCTGGTCTACAGAGCCAGACCCTGTCACTACAAAATAATAATTTTTAAAAGAACATTTATAAAACAACATTAATGAAATAAAAATAGAAAAGTGAGGCCATGATTTAGAAATAAGTAGCAATAGTAACAAAAATATACAAGTTCTAATTTGTAATCTAATTTCTAAAAAAACACACCCAAAGAAACACATCCTGAAATAGACATTGGAGTATTATTTATAAAAGAAAAACTGAAAGCAACCAACAAACTCTGTTATAAGGATATGGCTAATTAAATTATGGAACATTTACTCATTTAAAATGATATTCACCAAGAATTGGTAGCCACATTAAAAATTCTGGTATGATGTCAAAAAGAAAAGCAGGATATAAAATTGTAGTACGTTATTATTCCAACTGTGTAAACAAAGGTACACTTCTAGAAAAAAACCATTTGCAAAATGCATCATATTTCATCAAGATAAATAGAATAAGGTAATTGCTTTATAAATTTTCTGCAGTTGTTGTTTCTGTTAGCTCCTTACAAAAAAAAAATTTATAAACAGGAAATGAAAACAAATTAGTAACCATGAGACCTAATATAGTTACCATAAATTATCACTAAGTCTGATTGTGAATTCATGTATGGTAATAACGAAAATGAACAATTATTGGGCACTTTCTCTGTGCTCAGGACTTGCACTAAAGGCTTCAACATTGCTCATTAAATCCTCTGAGGTCTGTAATATTATCACCCCTATTTTACAGAGGAGGAGATGGGGCTTTAAAAAAAAAAATCAGGGTTTGGATAAATCACGGAGTAGATTTGTCTGGGTCTGTTTCTTCATCTCTGTAAGGAAGAGTTGGACTAACTGACCTTTAATATTTCCCTAACTCTGAGATTCTGAAAACTAAAAGCATAACAATGGCAATCAAAAAAGTTTAACACAAGCATGAGGCAAAGGAAGGTTATGCATGGACACGTCAGGCAGCCCTCCTTAGGTAAAACCTTAAGGAAGGCCAAGTTTGCCTCCCCTGTCTTTGCCCCTTCTCCATCTGGAGGTGCCTCCCCTCCTGCTCTCCTTTGCTTCTCTTTGCTTTCAGAATAACTGTCAGCAAGATTAATTTAGATCCACGCGTTTCCTCTCCCTGGGGCATTTGCCTTTGAATCTTCTCTCAATGCAGTGAAAGTTGTGTCCTGCCCCCTTAAGAAAGGATTTCAGGCAGAAGCACACTGGTGGAAGAAGTGTTTACCCATCAGGCACCCTGTCTGCCAGCAAAGGCAGCTTCCTTCCTCAGCTGCTCCTGGGCTGATGGGCAGATGAGGAAAACTAGGAAAAGGGGCAAAGCCCCAACTCAAATAGTACCTATTGAGACTTCTTTCAGATGCATTCACGCATATATACAGCTAAAGTCGTCTTGCAAAACTGATGGACAAAATTCAACCTTGTGATACTAGAAACTATTATTTATGACTTAGCTAGTTTTCACATCGCAAATAAATCACCACCTGGTCACTTTAAATAGCAAAATCACCTCTGGATGTGCAATTAATAAAAAATATTTCACATACAGGATTTCAGGTGTTTATACACAATGTCTCTCAAATCCCTGCAAAACATGTACACATGGAACATTCAGCAAAATGATAAAAAGTACACACTTGTATGACTACAATAATTGATTAATTTAATAATACTTCACAGTGTCTTCTTGACAATGTTATTAACCTCTAAACAATAAATAATTACTTGCTATAGTATAGTATATCTAGTACATATATATAGTATTATTCTCATGATGTAATACTTTATAGCTATTTTGAGCATTTGGGAAAATTGGGAAAAAGACTAGAAAAAATGAAACATTAGTCTTTGTAGTAGAATAACTGAAAATTAAAATAATGAATAATTCTGCTAAAAAGAATTAGCTCAGCTTTATTCAGTGTTTTAATTCTAACCTACTATTTTTTTAATCTGTGTTTATAGAAATGTTCTCTACATTTTTTAAGAAACTGTGTGCTAAAAATCATATTCCAAATGAAGGATTTTTAAATTGATATCTAAATTGTTCATTAAATATATAAAAATTTTAAATGCAAGCAAATAAATTTGTACTTCAAAAATGTAGCATTTTGGTAGTGCTTAGTGGAAAGCAATGCCTTTGTGAGCTCATTTAAGTTTCAATTGATATACTGTCTTTTATACAAGTGCAGCATGAGCTATACCACACTTGATTTAATTGATTTTATTATTATTAGGCCTGTTAATGTTTTAGAATTGATTATGCCAGAGAGAGACGGAAAGAGTCGTTGTATTGAATGAGTTATTTTATAAAGCACAAGTTTAACTCGTCAAAATCTCTATTTTTTAGAAAGAAATGAATTTGTTGTTCTTGCACATGTTTAATTAAACAACATTAAGAAAAAAAATCCTTAGAGTTGAGAACTTTCCAACCCATTCATTTTAGCTACAGAATTGGCAAAAACATACAACATGATGTGCAATTTCCTTATTTTGGAGTATTAGTTGTTAGTATGGGGTTTCTCAACCCCAACACTTTTTCACACTTTTTCAATGTTGTTGATAACAATTAAGAAAAGACATAGAATACTCAATTCTGTTCACTCAAATTTGGTAGATTCCCGGAGTGAGTTTCTTACCCCAACATTAGTGTTACAATGCACACAAGTTTAACTGTAGTTAGCTACTTTCATTCAGGGCTCTTGTTAGCATCTTATAGTAAAGGCGTGGATGAGGAGGGGGGAAAATAAAGCTTTGACAGATGGTACTCAGCGTTTGACTCCTGCTGAGCTCAGCAGGACCTGTGGTTTCCAAGGTTAGGGCTGTCAAAATGGCTCTGTCTATCAAGTGAATAACAAAGTGTAGACTGCCTGTCTGTTTCCTATACAAAACTTACATTTCATGTGCCATTATTGTTGGTCTTTCTGCTGATTTAATAACTTCTAAGGAAAAGAACTGGGGGTTCTGATGCAGCCTCACTATTTAAGAAACTACTTGGAAAGGGAATTCTCAAGGGCTGAAAGAGGTAGGCCGTGATCTGATCTCTTTCTCTTTGGCTTCTCTCTAAGGCTTTAAGACATAAAAGGGATTCAAAAGCCACCAAAGGTTCATTTTTGGCTAAAAGCTAAATGTGAAACTTTCAAAATGAACTCAAATGCTGTCTTCCTCTCAAAAGGGTAAAATGTTTTTTGTTAAGAATCCTTGGGGTGGTGGACAATTATTCAACTAGAAATATTGAGAATGAAAGTGGAACTGTTTCTATTATGAAATACATGGATGTACTTAGCTGTGTTTGTCAGGGCCTGTTTTTCACCTTTCATAGCTCTTAATATTAAAGACTCCCACCTTTTTCCACCTATTTCTAAAGCCTTCAGATGGTCAGATAAAGTACCTGATGCTGAAAAGCAGGAAATTGAATCGTGTCTCCAAAATGTGCCTTTTGTCATGCGCTGTTACAGCTACATTTCTTGGTAAGTCTCATGTTCTCCTTTATGCATATTTTCTGATTACAAGATTGTTATTGACCTCTTGGAATTTTAATAAAAAGCCTGTGGATTCATAAACCCAGGCTTTCTATTAAGACAATGCTGAAATTAGGATTGGGTTGTTGCTGCTGAATAAATTAATAATTATATTTCAATATTTATATTAAATATTAATACACTTAAATTTAATACACTTAAAGCAAAACACCTGATTATTTCAAAAATGTGGCATTTAAAAATTTACAGACTTAGACTTTAATCCTGTCCCAATACTGACCATTTTAGTTGTCATTTTTGAGAAGCTGATAAAGGGAAATCTGTCTCTTTTCAATGCTGGCTTGAGCAAACATTTCACTAATGTAGTGATTATTCCCTACCAGCATATCTGAAAAGATTACATTATCCCTACAATATAGTTGAAGAAATTTCTTCTGCACACATTTAGTTTATATAAGTCCCATAATCATAAAGGGAATTTTATTTGGAAGAATGACCATTTATTATGATTTTCAGTATAGCTCAGTATTTTGAACAGTAAATTTTTTAAAAACATTTTAAGCTTTAAAATATTTACCTTCTTTTAAAACTTATTTTAAAAACCCTAACCCAGTATTTTTTTTTCTGAGACACAGGGCCTACACTACATACATATTAGATATTCAGTAAATGTTATTGAATTGAAATTAAAAGGATATTGACTATTGAGTAAAAGATGAAAGGGATTCTTAAATTGAAATAAAAGGGAGACAACTTTTACATCAGATTATTCTAAGAAATTATCAAATGCCAATTTAGTATAAAGCCTTTTCCAGTTGTGCTTGGGTTTTATCCTGGAAATGTTTGATGCTTTTAATCATCTCTGTAGATAATAATGATAATTAAACAGAAATTTCAAAAAAAAATTCTAAACTAAAATATAGTTTTCTTCTCCCTTTTTATTTCTCTCCCTTTAGCTTTCTTTATTCCATAGGGCAGTTTCTAAGCTTCTTTCTAACAGCCTATACTATCACTACACCATTCCTGTCCCCAAAGGAGGTGTTGTTAATGGTAAACTTGCTGAATCAAATTGCTTTTCATGTGTTTGCATTTTTTGAAGAGTCTCTGAGGGGTTTCTTCATGTGTCTATGGGGAAAGTGTGCTTCTGTATTTTCATCCAAGTTCATAAACTGTAAGGCTCTGGAAATTAAGTCCATCTCTGGCAGGAAATCAGCAATCTTGGAGGAAGGAAACAGAACTAAAACAGCTATGATGTTTGAGCTCTACGACCACATACTTAGCCTCCAACAGAATCCTTTCTGATTCTAACCCACAGCACTGGCCCAGAGCTCTGGGACCAAGAGGTCAAACTATCCAGGGCTAACTAATATAACTAATATGTTCTATGTGCACTAAGCCCTTCAATCATTTTGTAGTTGTTGTTGTTAAGAGTAGTAAAATACACATAACATAAAATTTAGTATCTTAATCATTTTTAAACATACAATTCAGTAGTGTTAAATACATTCACATTATTGGGCAACTAATCACCAGAATTGTTTTGATCTTAAGAAAACTCTATATTCATAAACAACACCTCCTCCATTCCCCTCTTCCAGGCCCTTGGCAAACACCATTCTACTTTCTGTCTTTATGAATTGAGTATTCTAGGTACCTTACATGTAAATGGAATCATTATAGTATTTGTCTGTTTGTGCTGGCTTAATTTTACCTAGCATAATGTTTTCAAAGTTCATCAATGTTGTAGCATGTGTCAGAATTTTCTTCCATTTTAAGACTGAATAATATTCTATTTTATGTATATGCACCACATTCTGCTTATCCATTCATCTGTCATTTGACACTTGCATTGCTTCTACCTTTTGGCTACTGTCAATAAGGCTGCTATGCACATGGGTGTGCAACCTTCAGTCATTTCAGAGTGTGATTACTACATGCTGCAGAGTAAATTAAGACACACTGGAGAAAACACTTGAGAAAAATAGGCAGAAAATTACAATAATAAAAATAATAGATAACACTTATTGAGAGCTTTCTCTGTACCAGACACTGAGCCACAACACAATACTGATCTTAACTTTCTGAGAGATGCACTATTATTATCCTCATTTTGTAGAAGTAAAAAGAAGCACAGAGAGGTTAGTTAACTAGTCCAAAGTCACTCACCAAGTAAGTCACTGGAATGCAAATCCGGGAAATTGGGCCAGAGTTTATTCATTTGGAGGAGGAAAGAAATTACATAATCTGTATTCATGGAGCCACAGCCAAGTACCCTTAGGGAAGAACTCCTTGACCATGGCACAGAGCATGGCCTGAGCAAAAGAGCACTTGAATGAGAGCCAGAGAAAACAGCTCTGTCACCAGCTAGCTGCAGGACCCTGAACAAGACAACTGCCCTTCTGGGCTTAATATTTCATCTGTGGAAGGAGAGACTGAATTGAGTGTTCTATGGTCTGTGATTTCCAGCAATTCCCTCATTTCATGTGAAATGTATTATGGAATACTTTATGACTTGGTTATTTTACCCACTTGAAGATGAGAAGGTAATTTTTAATTTTCAAATATATGCTTAAGTCTACAAATTTTGATAATGACTAATTTTCTGATTCTCATTTCACTATATGCAAATTATTTCTTATATAAAAAAATATCATTTGTACTTCTCTAATGAATCTAAAAAGAAAGAATACAATAACATGGTACCAACAAGAGTGTGTGAGGTCAAATGTTTCTCTTTCAGAGGTCCCTGAGCTATGCCTACCTCAACAAAAGCAGAGAGTTGAAAACAGTGCTCACATAACATATATTCAAATAATTAGGTTTATAAGACACCCCTCACCCCCATTTCACCCTGCCACTGAGAGAAACGAGAAGGGTGAGCTTGAATTAATCTATGTTTCCCTCTTCACATAAAAATGTGCCACTTCATTGTATCTCTATAAACACAGACTGTACATAAGTACCCTTATTATCATAAATAATTTTACTAGCTCTTTTGCTTCTACAGTTATAAGTTTAGGTTATGATTTTTTGTGTTCACTTTCAGAGCATAACCCTAATTCTGGGTGTAGTGATTGAATTGGATCCAAGGAAACAAAGGAAAAATATTTTTAAAGAAATGCTTTAAAGATTTTTTTTTAATTCTGAGTTCCTGCAGAAAAGTATTTGAATGCCACTGATCTTTATAAGTAGGTGCACATTTGCAAACCCATGAAGAACACTTACCAGAAAAAGTCTTGCAAATCAGGCTCAAGAGAAGACTTGAGTTGCACTTCTGTTGGAATGCTGTACAAATCAAGTGGCAAATGCTTATTTTACCAAAGTCCAAGTGTTTCAAGTAGAGTTCAGTCAAGTGATTGATCAGGTCTGCATTTTTTCAGGGATGTCTGCAGATAAAGTTCAATATTAACTTAAGGGAATGTTTTCATTTACTTGTAGCTAGCATTTATGGCAGGATAGACAGTTTTATTTTAAACCAAATTATTACAGTGGAAGCTTTCTCCATATTCCAATACATGAACTTGTTATTCTTCATGTAGTAACTACATTCAACCTGCTGCCAAGATAAAGAATTCTGTGCTACGTACTTCACCTTCCATCTCTGCTTTCGAAAGATGTGAATTCTGCAAACCAGACAGAAGAGGGAGCTATCCATCTGGAAATTAACCAATCCTTTCAAAAACATGCCAAATAAATATAGAAGAAAATTCTAATATCAAATCTTATTTAGTCTTGTATTTTATAAAAATACTATAATTTTTCGGGTGCATTAAAAATGACGAAACTACCAGTAAAGGCAAAAACACTGCGTTAATGAAGAGGCAAAATATACAAACCATTAAAAGGCCAATTAAAAATACTCACATTTTACTGTTTGATCTCACATTTTATAGCAAAATGTAGAACCAGAACACACCTCCAAAAAGGGCAAAATAATACTTTACTGCTATACATATTATTAATATCACCTTCCTATGGATCCTGTTCTTAAAATGGAATGCTAACTTTAAAATTGATAACATCTGGAAATAATGGCAAAAAGGAAAAACTGTTGGGCTGCATTTGTCTTGAAAATGCTATGTAATAAGATTTACTTAATATATTTGAAAAAAGAAAAATGTTTTGTTCCCCAATTTGTTGCAACATCTGAAAGTTCATGAGGTTATGACCCCTCTTTAAGAAAGCATCTCCCACCACCTGCAAATACCCCAGGAAAAGCAGTTGGAAACAATAAAACACGTGCTAGTTAACTGTTACCAGGGAAACGGTTCTGGTTCACCAATCAGAGCGCCTGTGCTTCCCAGTGGCTTTGTCCGAGGGAGACATGCGCCAGCTGTTCGTGAATAACCATTGTTATAGATCATCAGGAAATCACAGTCAGCAGGCAACCCAGCCCCACTGGAAGTTTATTTCTCATATTTGTTCATCACCAGGGCAATTCTCCACCTTTAAAACATCCCCTTATGCTGGGTTAACTAAATAATAGCCTACACGGGTAGGGTCATTTAAAGGAGGCATGTTGCAAAATGGTCTTTTTGCCAGCAAACAGATTTCTAACTTCAATTCCAACTGCATCACCCTCCCACCCCCTTCACTTTCCAGTGGCAGTTTTAAGACTGATATCTGAAGTCTGTGCCCCTTTGAGTGCTGTTCCTCTTTCACTTAATTGGCACTCCAGGCACCAAGAGCTTTCACACCATACCCTCCAAAACCTGAGACCATTTGACAGTTCCCCATGCTGGAAAGACCAGTGTGATTTGCAAAAGGGGGCTCTGAAGAGGCTGTTTGGGCTGTCATAAGGGGCTGAGAGGACAAAACCCTGGTTCCCTCCCTCGCTAACACACACACAATCCAACCAGAACAGCCCCACCTTATCAATTTTATTATTTTTATAAAATTATAAATTCATAGATTTTTTTGAGATAATATGGCATTACTTTTTAAAGTTCAAAAACCGTCTCTCAACCTGTCCAATCATCTGACTCATC